ACGTCTTTAGGGGACCCCAAAAAGAAAGGCTGGCTTCCTCTTGGTTTCCCTTTAAGGCACACCCAAACAAATTGCACCCGTAAGAAAGACACACCCATGCATGAGGCCCGCAAGAAATAGTGCCTATTGCAAGCAAGGATCAGCTGTTCGGCATTGGCTCGACCGGGGAATCCGGTGCCTGAATCCATCTTTGGAGCCCAAAGCCTTCTTTCAGGAGCCCATGAGTTCCAAACTGTCCTGGCATTCTTTGAGGATACCTTTGTTTATCCTGGTTCAAAGAGGGAGGCCAGGAAAGGAAACCCATTTGGAGGTGTCCCACAATGGCCATTCCGCGCCTCCCTTCCGGAAGCCTCCTCCCGGCGACTGCCGTGCTGCGCGGCTTCCCGCAGTTCCTGACACTTTTGGATTCGGCCTGGCAAGTGGGGGGGGGAATGTCAATCCTGGCCAGGCCCCCTGGCACCCTTGGCAAAAACCACTTGCCTTGCGTCTGCAACTTGGAATGGACGGGTGCAAAAGTGGGATGGAAGAAGGCCATCTTCCTCCATAAAGATGATTTCAACCAAAACATGTGCAAACGTAAACGCGCCCAAAACAACCGCCCAACCATCTCAATTTGTCAATACCGGCTCCTCGTTCATTAAATTTCGGAGTCGGCTTTCCGCAGCCTCCCTGGCAAAGGTCCATGATAGCTTGGGCAGGTGGATCAGCCAGTGGGCTCAAACCTGCCTGAGCCTGTGCTCGGCGACTGCATGTTCTTCGCTCGCCTGGCGCAGCCGACGAAACGCCACAGGCACGCGCCAAATGGCGCGCCCGGGCGAATGACGTCTGCCACATGGACTCACGCAGCAAGACTCCCATCTGCCTTCCTCTCGGACCGCTTCGCCCATTTGGCAATGGCATCTGGGTCGGACCTGCGGAATCAAGCAGCTCGCCCAGGTCCCCACGCGAGCTGCGAGCTGCGGCGAGACCCAAGCGGCGCCTGTTGGACTTGTCACTTGGTGAAAGAGCCTGGCACGGAAATTTGCAAATTGTTCCAGCACCATCACGAAGAACGACCCACACCACGAATGACCACCACTGTTTGATCATGACAAAGCCCATGCAGGTCTGGTTGAAATGCAGATGGATCAGCTCGGAAGACTCTGCTAGCACCACACTTCGTCGCACTCGGATGGATCTCCTGCGGCGCGGTGGAACTGCAGGAGGGCGTGCAGGCGAAGCTCAGCACGCTCACGTCATCACTGAGCCGCCTGCGGCGGGTCCGCGGACCAAGAGCTGGCAAACACACACTGACCACAGCCCCGGCCTCTGCAGGATCTTTTGCTTGGCATGCTGCAGCCGAATCAGCCTCACCTCCTCCAAGCGGCCCATCTGCCTGGACATCCCTCACTCGGACCCGGGACCCGGGGCCGCCCCAAAGTCCGGTCCAACTCCGAGCAGGTTGGAAAAATGATGCAAGAAGTGGAAAACACCTTGCCAGCCGGTTCCAATGCTAAGCTTGGTAAGCAAGAAGCAAACCAGTGGCTTCTGGCAGTCTGGCATTTAACACGCTTGCCAAGCTTGATTTGACGCAAAGCTGAATACGAGCTGGGTGTTGCTTTGCATTGCCTTTCCTGGTGACATGGAAGCTTTTTGGCACCTCTTCCAGCAATATGGCCCATCGTCCCAAAGTGGGAGCTTTGTCGAGCTGAAGGTGCTATGCAGACTGCTTCTCGGGCGCCAGCAGATCTAGCTGATACGTCACATCCAACTGAAACAAAGATTGTCCTATCTTTGCGAGCTAGGCTTTTGCACCTAGCCACGTAATTAGGCTTGTACACTTCACACATTGATGGTCAAGGTCAGCATTTTTCGCGCCGCCTGCCTGTTGTAAGTCTGCAAGTCCTCGATGCGCTTGAGTAAGCAGTTGCTCTCATCTCCCGATGCCAAACACCTTGGGCAAACATCGCCAAATCTACCGCAGTCAGCCGCTCAAAAAAGCCAAGAGGCATCCAGTCGGGCCCGTCATGCGGCGCAACCATAGCTGCACCATGTGCGAAATCGTGCCCTCCGGAGCTATCACATGTGTGGCACACTGGCGTGAACAAGACGCTGGGTGGACCTTCGGAGAGCTAGTGAGAGTCATTGTGCGCAGTCTGCCAAGATCTGCAGATGTATCTGGGAAACCTCGCAGTGTGGGAGAAAGCTTGCTTCGTGTGTTCGTGTGTTGCGCTGACTTTTGAAGTCTGAAGTGCTGCTGGGTGATGTCAAAGAACGATCACGCAGGTGGCCAAATCCTGATCAAGCATCATATCTGGGCATTTTTCCACGTGCCACGAGGCGTCCCTCAAGAGAGTAGCCGCACCTTGGTTTCAAGAAATCGGCGTACTACCAATCCGACTCACATTCGAAAGCGCCTGTTTGAACTTCCCTCCCGAAATTGTCCTGGAGTGTTGCATCTCAGAAGAATGGCCAACACCAATGCCCAACATCAAGGCATGTTCGGTCACAACTCCAGTAGGCCATGCCTATGCTTCCCTGAATAGAAATCTCATGACACCCCCATAGTTGTCCGAACTTCTTGTAAACGGCCCACCCCTGCCAACTCAAGTCGGGTGGCCTGACCACACGCCATCTCTCGCTTAGGATGGAGCTGGGTGCGGCAGAACGGGGCCTGGCATGAGCAGAGCAATGCAAGACCACTATGCAAATGATGGAAGGATCCACCATTTCCCCCTAAAATTAGTGATCTTCGGGGAGGTAGCGGAAACAGCTTTACAAATGCTGAATGCAGGGGACAGCTTTACAAAGTGCATCTGTCCAGACCTAGCTTGGATTCCTTGCCCAACTTGTCCACGCATGTCGAAAGCACTGATGTTCCCCCTCAATTATGACTGCAAGCTCACAGTCAGGCGCGGTGCTGCCGCTTGAGAATCCGTAGGCCCCAAAACTCATGGCATCTTATGGCCATCAGGGCCCGCGGGCACTTATTGCTGTTCACTCTTCTGAACTTTGCTCACCAAATGCCGGGGAAAATGTAGTAGGGCACGGCTTTCCTTGGTGAGTCAAATGGTGCTTAGCTCCCTCACTCAAGCTTCCTGACGGTTGCAGATCTGGGTATGGGTCAAAATTAAAGCACCAGGAGACCGCAGGTTTTAGTCCTTGGTTCCATTTACTAGGGTTCCAAAATGGATACCCATTTTTGACCCACGGCCATCTGTAGCCAAGGTGCTTGTACCGCTCCCAGTCTCGTCCATACTTCTTGGAGCAGCGCACTTCGTCCCGCCAGCAGCGATGGCAGTCCATGAGCCAGAAGTAGATGCCTCAACCAGTCTCCAAGTGAAGTGGGTATGGGTCAAAAACAAACCACCAGGGGACCACAGGTTTTAGTCCTTGGTTCCAATGAACAGGGTTCCAGTTGGGTACCAATTTTTGACCCACAGCCAAGTGAAGGCGTGGACATACAACAACCCAGAGCCTGTTCCGTTGCCAAGTTGCAGTATCCGATGGGCAAGAACGGGAATGGTGAGGATGGGTCATAGCAGGCAATGGCCCACCTGGCACACTCAAAATGTTGGAACCCGATCCTTCGCAACAACGCTGCAGCCAGGCGGCCCGATGCACATGGTCAAGTCGCCGATGTAGTTGAAGTGCCGAGCAAGCCCCCAATAGCCTGATGTAAGAAGCATTGAACCCTCCTTGGTCAAGATGTATTCCGGCTTCTTGTCGCCAAACACAATTCGGGTACTCCATGGGGAGCGGTACTTGTCCACAGTGCCGCCGTTGTTCATGTGATCACGGAACAAATGCTTCTCAATGTTGGTGACGCGGAACATGAACATGCCGAAGAGGTACATGCAAACACCAATGATGGCAAAGACATGGTTGTTGACGATGTATCCATTTGCGCTCTTCTGCACCGCAAGGAAGCCCATGAAAGAGATGGGATAGAAGCGGCTGAGAAAGCCCCAGTCCCCGTAGGTGAGCATGAAGCCGAAAAGATCGTGACGGATGTCCGTGGTGGTGAGGTAGGCAGGCTCAACCAAGTTGTAGTCGAAAATGTAATACCTGGGATTGACAAACAGGCACATGTCCCACATCAAACCGAAACTCTGCAAGTAAAAATGCGCTGAACGTCAAGGCACCAGTGCGCAAGAGTGATGAACACCGCGGCCAGGCCAATGTTGGAGATGGAGCCTGAAGCTATAAAGCTGCATGCAGCTAGGCAATGTGTGCGACAGCTGCACCGTCAAAACCCCAACAAACGCTAAATGGAATTCCTGCAACGACTCGCCGCCGCACCCTCTACAGAGTTGCAAACACATGTGGCGGCATACTGGAGTGCAACAACGCAGCTCTCAAACAACATTGCCGCGGAAATCTGTGAGTCCCGCCTTCTTCCTGGCAAAAGCTGGCCGGATCCTTGTCGGCAAAGGCTCGCTGCAGCATCGCTGACTTTGCCTAGCTCATCAGAGAGTGGAATGGTCGCACAGGGCGACAGGGGCATGCATCATCAAACAACATCAGTCATTCATGGCCCCTGGTACAGACCCACGGTGAGGACATGACCCCGCCTCGTGGACACCAAAGAAAAGCGAATCGTTGACTCCGTAGACGTTGTCCGTTGGGAGCGCGCACCCGTAGTACATGCTTGCCTGATCTGGCAGAAACTCATATTCAAGCAAAAGCAAACTCAGGCAGGCGTCTGCGAGATAAGCCAAGGGCAAGCCCATTCTGATTCCAAACTATTGTTACCCATCGATCCTTTGAAGGGTCGCGCCAGGTTGCCAAGTAGGAGATGTTCAAGATCACCCAGCCGGTCAGTCCGGGGCGCGCGTTCCAAAACCTCTTCAGATCAAAGGGCACCTTCAAAATGCCATGAAACAGGCGAGGGTTTCGCACAACGCCCATGAAGAAGTCGTTAAAGAAGTCCTGGCAAAAGGCACACAGCCACCCCTAAGGCCCTAAACACCCAAGCAGTAAAACTTGCACCGGCATCCTGACAGTCGAAGACGCCATGATCCTCTTCAAATTCCTGAGTTGGCCGTGCCGCTTGCGACACCATGATGATGAGAAATGCTTGAAGCTTTACAAAACAGTTGGGGGTGGCCAAGTCTCTGGATCGTCCACATGGCGCTCCCAGAAAATGCCGAAGTCGACGTACAGCCAAAGGGCCATGACATAGCTGGTAATGACGGCCTCCGTGAGTAGCGCGCCCATGTTCAAGAAGACGTAGTAGGGCGTCAGTACCTCATACTTGCAGAGCAGAAAGAGCGCCACGTGGCTGAGGAAAAAGGTAAGCAGGCCATTCATGGGGTAGAGCAACTTGCGGCCGCTCTTCAGCATCACACCCTCCTTCACTTTGCCGGGCAGGACGATCTCGGCGAGTGCCTGGCAGCACACCCAGGTCAGAGACACCACTGTCGGACCCCAGCAGGGACGGATCGAAAGGCCATCCGGCAGGGTGTAGACCAGGTCGTACCAAAAGCTGGGCCCTGGGACCACCAGGCGGCCCGAGTGCATCACCATGATGCCGTAGAAGTAGTAGATGGCCACTGGGATGAAGAAGGTCCAAAACCCGGTGCCAATGTTCCCGTAGAACTCCCCGGTTGGGCGCGTCAGCTTCCGCACGGCTTTGCCCAAGGCCGGCGCCGAAGCCTCCTTGGGCCGGCTGGGGACCTTGGGCGCGGGACTGTCCGTGCGCTTTGAGGACGGCATGGCGGCACACGTGACGCTTCTGCGAGCCTTGAGCGAAAACTGCTGCGACAACCCAAGCGACTCGCAGATCCAATCCTATGCGGCGTCGCATTTGCAGTGGCACACGTCTGGATGCCCCTTGGCGGACGAAACAAGAAGAAAAGCCGCGCCTTCTGAAGCGCTGTTGGCAAGCGGTGGCAAGGGCGCCTCACAGGCTGCATTGCCCCCAAAAGCGTGAGGAAAGGCAAGGTAACAGCACGTTTGGGGGCACCTGACCTCTTTCCGCATGAAATTGCACTCAACATCTGTAGCAATTTCTACTTGACATAATCCAAGCATGTCTCCCAAAAAACAAAACAACGATTATTCTATGTCAAAATCAATTTCAAAAAGGACATCCTTTCTAATAGAACTTTCTTCGCAAATCAGGCAACAACTTCACATAACGTATGCAATTTTGGAACTTGTGAAGCCTTTCCTTTTGACATTATACTTAATATCGATCTTAAAGTCCACCCAATGTCTAACTGCAGTTAGTCAATTTACATTAGAAGTGTGTAAAAAAAAAAAAAAAAAAATATTCTTCAAAATATATTTTGTGCCGAATTTCCTTTCCACTCCGATATTCTTTAAAAGTCAGTTAGCATTTAAACAATTCATTCAGCAAGAGCTCAACATAGGCAAAGCGAGTGCAAACAGCAAATAGAGACTTGCACGCACAAGCAAATCAACATATAGCTAACTAAAACTGCACTGCCACAGTCCCCTACCCTCAAGACAAAGGGGGCACCAATTCTTGGGATTGCATCTTTAGCTTGGAACCAAACAAAACAAATCTGCCTAAGACATTGGCACGGGGAAAAGTACCCAAGGGACAAAGGCATAGAGAACATCCAGGACGACCAAACACCCATGCATCGTGCCAACGGAAATGCAGGTTCCCAAAAAGAGGTGCCAGCCCTACAAACATTTGCAAGTGCCCACCATGTGGCAAAACGCACCAGCTCTGATACCAAGGCCTGCGAAAGGAGGCTCTCCCGGAGCCGACCGTCTTGAGCGGTTCTAAGGTAAGCGTGCAGCCGAAATGTCGCATGGAAGTGCAGTGTTCTGTCCCAAGGAAGGCCCAAGAACGTGCAAGGTCCTATGGGGGCGGAGTGCACAGGGGTCATTACATGTTCCATTACATGTTCCCTGTCCCAGCTGACGGCTAAGCTGCACCCCGGGCTGATCGCACTCGAAAAGGTCGGCAGAATAGGTTGCAGGAGTGCCTGTAAGCCGGACTGCAAGATCATTCCTGACAAAACCCTCCAGCGCTCGGCGCTCGGATGTGTCGTTTATGGTCACGATCAACTTATGCAGCGGAGGGCTCAGCTTCACTTCATGTTGGGACCCCCAACTTTCTCAGGCGCAACCGCAGGCGCAACCGCTTTTTCGGCATGCCGCATGTGGCTCTCCAGCAGCTGCCCCACGAGCTGATCCAGCATGGCCTTGACGCCATCGCCGGTCCTGCGGCGAAGCACACGGGGACATGGCGAGTCCTTGGCGCACCCGCTGTCCTTGCAGACACTTCCTTGGCTGAGATGATTCAAGGAAAATGCCCACGAAAATGTTGAACAAGAAGCTCTACGCAGACCACTCAATTGAGAAAAACTTGAGAAGCTGTGATACCCGGAATCTGACAGATCAAAACCCAAAGCCTTCAAAGGGCGATTCGCCTTGGAAAGCTGAGCGTAAAAAGGGAAATGAACCGGAACACTGCAAAGAGGCAAACCAGATTAAAGTGCCACAGGCAGCACTCCTGGGCCTCAAGAGGGCTCCCCTAAGGCCTAGGAGCTCAAGGAAACCACTTCCCTTCGGGAAGAACATGTGGTACGGCCGAAAAAGGGCCCACTGGCAAAACTTGAGAAAACAGTGTTGTGACGAGGCTCGAAGAATGGGAACGACTTCTCTTTCGCAAAGGCTTTGGCAACTGTGGTGGCAAGCACATCGACTTGCAAGTCGACCTGCACGCGCCGTCATGTGTCAATCACATGTTACGGTTTCTTTCATATCCACCGGGCGGCCAACGAAGCCAAACCTGTGCACCCAAGCCATCAAAAACCTGCTCCATTCGTCAGGTCTGCCTTGTTGGCCACCTGGGATGGATCCAAAACGTGATGAAAGCAAGTTGGCGGGTTTGCGGTGGTTGTGTTGGGGTTGGCATTGGAGTTGGATAGTAGGTTTGGTTTAGGGTGGGGATATGGTTGGTGTAGGGTTGCCTCAGGGAGGAGTTAGGCATTTTTTGATAAAGGGTTGGTTTAGGCTTGTTAGGGTTGGTTTGCAATTGGCTTAAGATTGGTTTTTTGGGGTTGTGTTAGGGTTGGCTTAGGATTGATTTCGCGTGGCTTTAGGGTGGGGTTCTGGTTGTGGAAGGGTTGGCCGCTGGTTTACTGTTGGTTGAAGCTGGCTTTGGGGCGGGGCTTGGGTTGGATTAGTTTAGGGTTGGTTTGAGTAGGGGTTTGGGGTTGTGCGGGCTTAGCCAACAGCAATTAAAAACTTGTTTTTTTTAAAAAAAAAAAAAAAGGTCCGCGGGAAAACAAAAAACAACGAAATGGAAAGTAATAGCTAAGCAAATAAACAGGTAAACCAAAAAGCAGCCCTCCTTGAGAACCCTATTGAGAGAAACTCCATTGCTCACACCTGCAACTAAGCTGCCACCGCCACCAGCGCCGTGCGGCAATGCGTCAGAAAGGCCCCATGGAATCGCTGCAGCTCCTTGTTGGCAGTCGTTCGTCCGTGTCCAAGGGCTGCTTTTTCGTTCGAAGCAGGGGGGCTCCAGGGAGCAGTGTTTCTTGGCTCATGACCCGCGGCAACGTGGCCAAAGGAGGCTCGTTGATCGGCAAAAGTTGGAGTTGTTAGGGGGCAAGGACGCGAGAATTCATCCCATGTGCAGCCAGCGGCCTCCGCGGACACTGCAGTGCCCGCAGCAACGCACAGCAGCACCAGCGACGCGCCGCCGTACAACGCAGCGGCCAGTTCCGCATCTTCCCCTGAGATGCGGCACTTCGGGCGCATGGGCTCCAGGCCCCAAAAGGCCCCAAGGCCCCAAGGCTGTAAGGCCCTGGCCCCAACTTCGGCCTTCAGAGTCCCACAGCCGCAGGGTCACGCGAGTGGAGTCCTAGGTCGACATCACGAACGTGAACTGCCCAAATCGGGCTCTGCCGGATGTCCTGACAGCTCAACTGGACTGTGTGCGGCGCGGCATGCATCCAAGGCTCGTCCACTAGAAACTTTTTCCTTGGCCGTGGCTTGCCCCCGCCCCTCTGGTTGGAATCAGAAATCAGAAGCTTAAGCCGTTTTTCTGCGCCAACTCTCCGGTGATAAGCTGAAGCTGCTAATTGTTGCTAATCCGACCTTGTCAAAAAGGGCCGGTGAAACGAACTGTACGAAGCAACCGGCGCAAAGGAATGCAACTCAGTTCGTGGACTCGCCCAGCGACATCAGGTTGGCAGTGTTCTTAGCAGAACCAGGGACTTTGGAGCACGCTGGCGCTTCGTCGTCGGTGGATGATTCAGCATCACTGAGGGTAAATGGAGACATCGGACTGGCCAGCTGCGAGAGCGGGTCTGTCCGCATGCAGCACCTCATCCTCGGCGTCCCCGCCTTCATGGGTACCTTGAGCTTGGCCTCCTGTTCCTCGGTTGCTTTCTGCTCCCCTGCTAAAAGTTTAACCTTTAGTGTTTTAATGGAAAACCCATTAGCTAGCAAAAAAATAAAGTCCTAACATCCAAGCAAAATGCACCAAAGGTTCCGTCAAGGTCTTCAACATGCGTCTCAGATGATACTCCATCCCGCGGCGGAATCGGGCCTGCTTTGTCAAGACTTTGATCTCAGCAGCGGCCTCTGCGGATGTTCTGACCGAAGCGTGACGCGTTTCGCCTTTGCCCATGGCCGCAACCCCCGAATGGGCTTGCTTGGGCCAGACTGCGCAGATTCGTAAGCTGTGAAATTCCGGGGTAAGGTTCACAATAGCACGGAGCTCCCATTGAGCCAAGGCTCACCACTGCATCCACGCCAATCGTAGGCAACGGTTGATCTTTGAAATCCGAGCCAAGAAACCTTTGCAGAATGCTGGTTTTCCCAGCGTTCCTGAGCTTGACAATGCTGCGCATGCCCGTTTCACGTTCGTCGCACGTACTGTGCAGAAAATTGGCGTTCAATCCGGCTTCAACTTTCATGACTCTTCCGGCCATTGCAAAAAATAGCGGTTCAGCAAATGCATTAAGATGCCAAGCCGCGCTGGGCCAGCAAGCACAACCTTGAACATCGCGTCCTTAATCGGCAGTCAGCGGCTCCAAGCAGCAATATCTGGCCTGCCTTCTTGAAGTCCCCCCCGGTGAAGTCTTTCACCTGTGCAGCATCTTGCCCTGTGCCAAAAAAGCACATGCAACGCATCAACTTCGTCAAAAATGCAACATCCTGCATGCTGCCCAAGGTGCTGAATGGGGTGAAATATGGCACTGCACGGCGATGCGCATCCTTAGATAGAGTCAAGCAAAGCAGTGTGGAAGCTTCTCAACAAAACACAATCGAGCAGTGCCCAAACACCATTGAGCGTACTCGACAAGTGTGCCTATGTTCCAAATGACTGCCACCTTCCTGTAAAAGCAAGCAGTGGACGGCAAAATGCATGGCCACAGCGCTTGCAAAAGGAATCTGACAACCAAAGTTCCTATGTACCGAGCATTGCAGTGCCCAGGCACTTGCAAACGAGCTCGTCGTCCCCAAGCTCGCGGCCACAAACTAGCAATCTGAGGCGCTTCCTTGGTTTTTTTTCTCGCTTGCAGGCTGCCTTTTTGGGACCCCAAGGTTCTGGCTGAGCAATGCCGCTCCTCTCTGCCACACATTTCTTGAGCTGCTTGGCCGTGGTATTCACCTTAAAGCGCCCACTCCCAGCCTCCCTTTCCCACCGCTTCCTCTCCGTCATTCGCATTTCAGGGTCCCCTCCTTTCCTGGACGAGCTGCGGGCACCTTCAGCACAAGCTCCTTCTCCGAGGGCCTCAGCTTGACACAGCGAGGGCATAGGACGACACCCGAGGGCATAGGACGACACCCAAAAGAACTCTCTGAGAGCCTTGCCGGAGAGCTATGCAAACCTCCACCTGAGAGCTTCGGGTCTTTTGCAACATCTCGCGGCCTCTGCAATTAAAGAATGGCATCTCTACAAGAAACGTGGAAAGCCCAAAAGGGTTCCCACAAAAACAAAAAAATACTAAAGGCGTGTACAAGTCTGTGAGTCGTTTAAGGGGGTCCAGGTCTATCTGCTCTGCCATGCCCCGCTCGCTGGGCCGAGGACCGCATCATCTCGATCACTCGCCTGGACGGACCGCAAGCTTCGCTTGGGTTCAGCCAAGGGCCGCTTGCAAGACACACACACACACATGGCTGTGGGTCAAAAATGGGTACCCAAAATGGAACCCTGGTAAATGGAACCCACCACTAAAGCAGGCGGCTTTTTTGGTGGTTTAATTTTGACCCACACCCACACAACAACAAGAGCAAAGCACCGATGTGGCCATGGGTCCAAATCCAAATCGTACCCCCAGTGAACATCCCAATCTCCACTAAAATAGACTAAAATGGGTGGTGCACCTATACCATTGGTTTTGAACCATGGCCATGTAACATGCACGAACTCGATTTGGAGAGGTACTTTAGTCAACAGCACAATAAAGTGCGCATTGGGACCAAAACCCGTGCGTCCGCCATGGCCAGCCACACATGTCCAACTCTTAAGTCACACGCACTGCGAGCTCTCAGTTACATGTGGGCACTTGCCTTACGCACTCGTTGAAGTCTTCTCCGTTTTGACTACGTGGCACCTTTTGGCATCTTCCTGTTCACTCCCAACAGCCCCTACGGCACTGCAACACGCCGGCGGTGCAGTGTCATAAAAAGAGTGTTGGCGAGTCCCCAGGCGCCGGTCATCCGGCATACCGGTCACCAGCGCGGAACGCCGCCCTACCCCAAGCGCACTGCATGGCTTGCGGGCCTCCTGCCCCAAATTCGCAGAGCCCACCATCCACGCAGCGCGCACCCCTTTGCACACCGAATTCAGCAAGATCGCGAAGCGTTTCGTCTGAAACAGCTCCGTATCCTGCCCGCTCTTCAAGCATCAAAGTTTTCGGAGCCGCGCAAAATGTCGGGGACTTCTCCCAGGCGTCCCCTCCAGTCTGCATCCTGAGAGCACCGGAGCATCTCGGCCAAGCGCTCCATGTTCATGTCGGAGTCCCGCAGCCCTTAGTCAATCTGCACACATCCGGTCCACCAAATTGCACGGCGCTTAGCATGGCATAGCCTTCAAGCGTGGCGCGTCCATCCCGAGGCGGGTCGGCGTGGGCGACGTACCACTGGCGCAAGTGCTTGTGAAAGTCCTGGCCACCCCTCTGCCACTCCCAAAACAGAAGTAACCTTCCAAAAGTCCTCCCAAGCTTGCATCCGCTCTGCCATGCTGTTGCCATTCACCTCCCTCTTCAGGCGTTCCTGCCATGCAAACATCGCTGCAAGTCTTCCATGCCCTTGACACGCTCCCGGTCCTCACGGAAGCTGCTGTGCATCTCCGCACGCAGACCCTGTGCCCACATCCGCGTGAAGGACTCAGAGCCACACGCCAGAGGCACGCGGGTGCAGGCCTTGAGGCCGGTCTCCAGGCACGACTCCAATTGATGCAGCTGCCCCTGTACCATCTGGAAGGTGTGTTCGGTGTCACGCCAGTCCTGAGCAAGGCATTGAATTTGGAGTCCTGGGCCTTGAACAGCACGCATGCAGCAAGGATTGGCAGGGCAAGCGCAAAGTCACATTCAAGCCCGACAAGCAACAAGCATGGGTCCCCTGAGTGTCGGAGGCGCAAAGCCCGCTCCTGATGCACTCCCTGCCAAGCTCCTTCCAATCGACCAAGTCGACCACCCAGGCCTCAGCTGTCTACCAACGGCCGAATCCTGGGGCCCAGCACCCCGGGCCCCTGGCCATTGCCCAGACTTGCGAGATCGCAGTTGATGGCGCGGGCCTGCTCTTGGCGCTCGGTGGTCTCCTTGCACTGATATCCCCAAGCTGGCTGGAGGCAAAGAAGCCAAGCGTCAGGTAAACGCGCACTTTGCGCAAGAACACGCTGGAGGAAATGGGTACGGCACCCTTGTCCTTGCTCAAGTGGTCCATGATTGTCTTCTGGGTGTCCTTGCAATCCAAGTGGGCCACCGCCGCTTGGTCGCTCACCTCGGATTTTTGAGGCGAACACCAAGAAACATCATAAAAAGACATTGAGGACCAAGCAGAACTGGCTATTTTGGCAGCTTCCGTCTTGAGCATTTGTTCAAAGACCTGGCAAGCTGCGCAAGTCATTGACTGCGGGGGGGGGGGGGGGGAACTGCCGGGCACTGAATGGCCTCTGTCATGGAATGACGAGCGTGGACCTCCTAAAGCCGACGCAAACGCGAAGGGGTGAGTTGCGCGGTCCATGGCAACAACTTCTGGCTCCTGGCTGAGTGTTGCCCCCATCCATTTGTTGCTTTTCTCCAGCTCCTTCGGCTAAGGAGCAAGGGAGCTGAGCGCTTGTCATGAACCACTGCCTGGCACTTGGCATCAATCTCGGCACAGGTTTGCTTCAAGCCTGAACGGGAGAAAGGCGACGCCATGCGAAAAAAGAAGCAGTGACGGCAAAATTAGCCGCTACTTCCGAATATGGGATATGTTCGGAGGAATCAGGCGTCCCGTCTGCCACCTTTTCCCTCCATGCGGTTCTGAGGGCTCCCGCCTTGAGCTTTGCCATCGAATCCGTCAACCATCGCCTCCAAGTCGTCCAAACGGTTCTGCAAGTTGCCATCCTCCTGGCAACGGCCGACGGCCGCCGCAACCATCGGCACCTGCTCTGAATGCGGGCCTTGGCCGGCACAGTTTCCGCCAAGTGCTGTTGTGCCTGACGGGGTCTTGCATGCAAACCCTACTGCCTGCCTGCCGCAACTTGCTTCTGGTGGCAAGCAAAATCCGAGACTGGCTTGCAAAGCTTGGCTCATGCAAGCCTTTACTGTGTGCCGAGCGAAATGTTTGCTGTGATTTTGATCGTACGGGCTCCGCAGCAAAATGAGCACAAATGCCTCGTGCAAGTTCTCCAGCTTCTGGCTGATTGAATCTTGCCAGGTCTGTTGCATGTGCTGGACCTCATTCCTGTGGCTCCTCAGGCAATTGGTTCCGTCAGGCAGTTCATGGCTCTTAGACCCCAGTGCGGCTTAGCATCTCGTGTGCTGTCATAAGCGCTCGCAAGCCTGGCGAATTCACATATATCGGGGCACCCTGGCAAAGCCCCCGGTTCTTCCCCGGCCTTTTCGCATACGGTCATGCTGCTTCGTGCCTGCCATGCGTCGAAACGAATGTCAATCCCTCTCAAAGTGGCCACAGGCAGGCAGCGCTGTGCTCCATGGCCACCACATGACCAGATTTCAAGTCATCAACTTGCTGCCTCGGGCGGGAGGCCGTGGCTGAAGCTGCATTAGCGGGAGTCGTGTGACAAACTCGAGACTCAGCACGCCTTGATCCCCAACCAACCCGAGTCCAAGCTGCAGCATCTGATCTCTCAGCAGGACCGTATGCTTTGCACTGACATCCTTGCTCCCACACCCTTTCAGCAACTGCACGAGCGACCCGGCAAAGTCAAAAGACTGCCGTTGCGTCATGAAATGCTTTGGCTCGCACCCCGCGAAAAGGCAAGGCCGGCCGCACCACCGCTTTGGCAAGCGCGCCGAAGCACAATTTGCTGCTGAAGCTTTGCAGCCCAAGGCTCCACAGCACTGCGCAACTCTGAGACCTGCCGGTCAGTCAACCGAATGCCCCAGAACCAATCAAACTTCTGAATCGCTGTGCCTTCCTTGTCTCGGGTTCTTGCGTCCCATCGTTGCTCATTTATGTTGCTTCTCTTTCCTGTCATTTTCTTCCCGTTGATTCTCCTTTTCCTTTCCTTCCCGTTTTTGCATTTCCTATCTTGCCTAGCTTCAGTATCTCCCTTTTCTTTCCCTCCTCCTTGCCATCCTTCATTCCCTTTGCTTTGTGGCTTCCTTCCTTCCCTTCCCTCCCTTCCCTCCCTTCCCGTCTCTCCCTTCCCTTCCTTCTCTCCCTTGGTTTCCTTCCCTTCCTTTCCTTCCTTCCCTTCCTTTCCTTCCTTCCCTTTCTTCCCTTTCTTCCCTTCCTTCTCTTCCTTCTCTTCCTTCCCTTCCTTCCCTTCCTTCCCTTCCTTCCCTTCCTTCCCTTCCTTCCCTTCCTTCCCTTTCTTTCCTTCCTTCCCTTCCTTTCCTTCCTTCCCTTCCTTCCCTTCCTTCCCTTCCTTCCCTTCCTTCCCTTCCTTTCCTTCCTTCCCTTCCTTTCCTTCCTTCCCTTCCTTTCCTTCCTGCCTTCCTTCCATCCTTTCCTGCTTCCCTGGCCGTCTTCCCGCTCCAGCTTTTCCAACCAACCCCATCGGCATCCGCCCCATCCCTCCAAGCACGGGCGCATTCAGTCTTTGACTTTGTTCGTTCAGTGCTTCCATCCTCCTCCTCCATTGTCGTTGTCTGGATGATTTTGTTAGTTTTAGGTGTCCCGCCTTTGTTCCTTTCCTTCGTCTCCAACCTACCAAGAACTCAGATCTAAGATCTTCTCATTTTGTCCATGGCCCCCGACCATGAAACTTCTTTGCCTAGCCCCCTCCAAAAACACTGGGCAAACAGTCAGTCAAAGGGTGCACCCCACAAAGGACCCAGACCATCCTTAGTGGCTACTGTTGGGCTATCAGAGTACTAAACCAATGCCAAACAAATGTCATACCAATTCTGACCCAGATCTAACCAGAAGCCGATTCTACACCGGGACTGAGTACGAAGTAAAGCCAAACAAACATCAAACCAACTCCAGGACTAACCAATGACAAACCAATGAAGTCCCAAACCAATGGATAGATTGGACGGAAGACGGCAGACTTCCGTGGGGGGGGGGACCCAGGCGTTGGAGCGCTCCTCGCACTCGAGCTTCGGCAGCTCTGCTGCCGTCCAGCTTTCCAAGCTTTGCAGCCGCCGCATCATATCCGAATCCTGAGCACAACGGCGTTGGCCTGAAAAAAACCTCCTGCCGGTTGCATCCATTGACTGTCTTAAGGTTCGGGACCTCCCAAAACGGTGGTCTTTATGAGCTTCCTTCAGAAGTTCAAAGCCCCCCCCAAAAAAAAGTGTACCCTCAAAAAATGGCACCCCTAATATCACATCCGATCACAGGAGACCTGCGCTTGCCCTGCAGCTTGCCCTGCCTGGGATGTCCGCTTCTGAACCTGGGAGTGGCTCGCCGCTGACTCACCCGCGCGGCTTGTGCAACTGGCCTCCGTGCGCATTCTGGCCAAGCTCATGTGCGTCTCCTCCACACCTGACACATGCACATTAAGGTGCAGCCCAACGCACGGAAGACATGTCCAGGCGTGCCGCTTTTGGGTGTTCGAAAAGGGATTTTCAAGGGAATGTGAGCAATTCAATGGTTTATCTGCGGTAGGTGGGCCAGAGGAACTCCTCCCCGGACGCAAAGCAAAGCAAAAAACAGTTCAAGCCGTGTTCATCCACTTGGGTTGGATGTGTGTTGAAATTGTTTACCTGGCTTCAGATAAGACCGACCTGAAAAGAGTAACCTCAGACAAGGACAAATCAATCGTTTGTGGGGGCAGGGGGGATCTCAAAGGGGCTTGAAACGCATCATCTCAAAAAAAAACACATCGTTTTTGGAGGTGCATAGATAACATATCCATACAAACATATATATATATATATATATGCATGTATGTATTCAACATATATATATATATATATATATACATGTGTCTGTATGTACATATGTGCATATTTATATACATGTGCATATCTACATTTTTGCATATTATGTGGCTATATACATATGCAACTGGTCATCTCTCAGAAAGGGCGCTCTGCTGCAGCGTGGTGGCCAGGCGGTGCTGCAGCTCGCGTCCTTGGTAGCTCTGCGTCTCCCAGCGCGCAGCCGCCCGCTGCTGCCTCGGCCGTGCGCCGCGCACCACGCACCACGCACTCTCTCTCTCTCTCTCTCTCTCTCTCTCTCTCTATATAGATATATATATATATATGTATATTTTGGAAAAGTTTCCTGTAAAATGTACAGTTTTTTCACTTTTCGATAGAACCTAATCCTCCCCGCAGGCGACTCCATGGACCGAACTGCAGACTTGGTCTTCCATTTGCAGGATCGGCCTGGGGAGGAGCTTCATAAAGCTGGTAGTATGCGGGAGTGTGCCTCTTTGTGGTTTTAGGGGGGACCAAAAGGAAAACGACCTCCATTTTGTGAGCCCCGACCTCCATTTTGTGAGCCCCCTTACAAAAGACACATGTGGGTACAAGATTTAATCAGTCCCGGACACTTGGACATCAGAGTTTGGGCCGTTCTTGGGGAAAATGATAAGGCAAAAAGAAAACCACCATTTCATTTGGGGGACCTCCTATTTGATCACATGCCCACATGGCAGAACCCACAAAGGCTGAATCCTGAATTTGGCTGAGGTCGGTCTGCAGCTTAGCCCTTGAGGAAGCTCTATGTAGATGCAACCGCGGAACTCGCTCCGCAGAAGGTCAAGCTCCTGCGCAAAACGTGCCGGCACTGTGGGCAGCGAGCGCGCTTCAACTCGAGCTTACTTTGCATCGGCTGGTGGCCCTCTGCTCACTGTCAAGTTCTCCGTAACGTGCCGAGTCACTGGTGAAGCTGGCCATGTTGCATGTGGCACTTGCTGCACGGCAAGCCACTGGCATCCTTGCAGAGTCTTCCGCCTGCGGCTTGTCTTGCTGAGCTCGCGATGTTGTGCTGGCAAGCATTTTAAGGGCCAGGACTTCTATCACTGGGTGCACTTCAGTGTCTTCTGCCGTCATCTTGCGCAAATTTGGCTAACAGAAGACCACGCATCTTCACGAATCCGAGCTTGGTGGCTGCAGAAAAGCAAGGCAACCTTTCCAGTCGAGGACGCCTTGCATTCAGGCCAAGGTGCTCCAGCGGAATCTGCGGCGGGCAGATCACAGCGCATGCAGTCGTACTGGTGTGACGCCAAACTGGCACGCAGATCTTGCTCGCCTTGGACCCCTTCAAGAGGCCCATGTGGAAGCTCTGCAAGGATCCAGGGACGGAAGCGCTCCAGTGATTTCGGCGCGCCTTGAATAGCCGGGGCCAAACCCGCTCCTGCAGTGGCTGCCACACCGAGCCGCAACAAATCCAGCCGGTCCACGTGGCCCAGCAACTGGTCAACAGTCACAACCTGCAGACGCCTTTCCTGCCCCGACCTGGCCGCCCGAACGCGAAAGTCGCGGAAGGACCTCTGGGCGGTCTCGGTCACCTCATCAGCCTGGCTGGTCACGTGAGCCGTTGCCCCCAGTGCTGCCTGGAAGGTATCCACATGGAAAAGCTGAGCCAGGGCCAGGTTTGCATTGAGCAGCTGCATGTTGGTGCGCGAAGGCTCCAGCGCGAGCACACGGCCATTCCGAGCCAAAGGAATGGTCAGTGCTCCGATGTGGGCGCCGGCCTCAAGAACGCGCATGGGCCCTGCTTGCAAGCTCCGGTGGATCGCATTCTCCAGACCCAGCCATTCTCCGCAAAGCTCCAGGGTGCGCCCCACGACGGTATCATGCACATTGTACAACATGGGCCCATGACGGGTTGAAATCAAACGATGGATACCCGGTTGTTCCTTGGGCAACGTCGGTTGCTGCCAACTTCGGTTGAAGCACGTCCGTAGAGACTCCTCCAGCACCTCGCAAGAGCCACCCTGCTCGAGCCAGCAGGCCTCTGCAGCAAGAAAGTCTTCGTTGCAAAACGGCACATTTGTTGGAGTCACACTGGGCTCTGGGTCAGAGCTGTTGTGAACATGTTGGCTTGTCTCCGTTGCCTGGTGACCTTGCGCAGCTCCTGAGCTTGCGACGACGTCCTGTAGGATCTGACCGATTTGCCGCGCAGTGCGCTCCGGTGCAAAGTAGCTCTGCAAGGACACTCTTGCCCGGTTCCTCTCCACAGGTGACGGAGGTGCCTGCCATAGCTCGACGAGCGCTTCCACCGCAGCGGATCCATCTGGAGCTGTCCAGGAACCAGGGCGGTCGCCTCGGCTGGCTACCGACTGAGACTGCTTGGGGGTGACTGCTGAGATCACTTTGCCCAGCAAAACATTCTCCGCCATGGCCGTGGCACCGTTCACGATCACCGGAGTACCGCAGGCTTGCGCTTCCAGCACCGGAAGCCCAAAGCCCTCAGCACGGCTCAGCTGTAACAAGACGTCGCTGGCACTGTACAGGCTGCGCAGCTGCTCCGGAGAGAGCTGCTCACGGCTGCTTGTGGCCCCGCCACCCTCCAAAGACAAGCCAACGTCCTTCAGCAGAGCTCGGATGTCTACGGCACCATTCAAGTCGCAATGGACGTGCAAATGCACCTTGGCAGGATGTGCACAGGCCGCTTCACACAACTTGGCGACTCGGCCCTTGAACTGGGCAAAGGCTCGGATGGCGGCGCGGTACGACTTCCGGTTGGCCTCGAAGCTCGGGGGCGGAGGGTTCCTTCCCACGAGGAGCACCACGAAGGCGTCCCGAGGCAAGCCCAGCCCGCGCCGCGCCTCGGCGCGGGCAGCGGCCTCGAAGGCGAGCGGGCCCTCGGCGAAGGCCGGGTGCAGTGCATGCGGCACGTGGCCCAGCAGCGGCGGCAACGAGGCCGAAGCGGCGGAAGTAGCGGAAGTGGCCAGGGCGGTCTCGTAAACGCCGCGACCCCACAGAGACATGGTGATCACGCCGCTGAAGAGCTGCAAAGCCAGGCCGGATCTGTCAGGCCGCTCTGGGTCACTGCTCAGCAGAGGGTCGAAAAGAATGGGAAGCCAGGAAATCAAGGGCGGCAAATGCCCCACTCTCATTGCTTCCTTCACCTGGCCTGGTCCAGGTCCCAGCCACCAGGCGTCATGCAAATGTAGAATAACGTCCGGCTTCCGAAAAGGGCATGTGCCGGAGGTGCCGGGGCAAAGAGAAGCTTCCGTGAAGAGCTCCATTGCCCTGGACAGCTCCCACCAACCTGCGCCCTCCTCATAGCCAGTGGGTGGGGCAATCCGCGAGGTGACGATGGGCACGCCCGGTAGCAGCGCGCGAGGATCGCCGCCTGCCTGGGCCAGCAAATCTGGCTGGGCGAAGCCCTTGCGTTTCAGGAGGGCCTCCAAATCCTCTGCAGGGCCCTCACCACGATATTTCACGTTCCAAGCCAGCAGCTGGACGTGCCAGCTCCTTTTCAGCTCTGCCACCAGA